TGGGGTCACGAGTCCCCCTTCGTGACCCTGAAGGCCTGCTCTGGTCAGCTTTCTCCGGCTGGAGTCAGCAGACAGCTGTCTGAAGTCCATCTGCTGGGGGCTTCTGACCAAGTTTCCTTTCTCTTGATAAAAGACAGTTGACTATATCTGGCACAGCCCACCCCCATGCCCATGCCCAGCCTGGGATGTAAATGCCCACCTGAGGACCACTTGATAACAAAGAACATGGGCAGTTCTCGGCAAGGTTCACAAAAATCGACGTGTAGGGAGCTAAAATGGGTTTAATTATTTAGGGTGCGGATGCGTGTGTTAAGGAGAGTTTGGTTGGTTGTTGCTGTTGTTCAGTAAGGTTAAGATGAGGTAGACTTTTAAACATTAACAGAACAGACCATCGGTGTGGACTTGCTATTCTGAATGAGGCGGTTTGGGGTATTTTCCTTCCTTGTGGTTCAACTTACCAATGCGCATATTCTCAATGATCTGGAAAATCATTCACGGAGTCCCCCCGCCCCCGGCGTGATTTCTGTGCTGGTCACCGCTCAAGGGGGCAGCGTAAAAGACGATTAAAAAATGAACAAGCTCCCTGGGGTCGGTTCTGACTCACAGCCACCCTCAAGGCCAGGCTGGAACTGCCCTGCGGGTTCCCGAGGCTGTCACTCGTTACAGGAGTGCGTGGACAGCCTCCTCTTTCTCCCGCAGGGTGGCTCGGTGGGTCTGCCTGCTGGCTTTATTAGCAGCCAAACACAACCCTCTACGCCACCACACGGCTCCTCTAGATGGAAACAGGAGGATGAACATCAAGGCCCGTGTTGGTCTTTCGACACAGCACACCGCCACATTTGGATGTCACCGCAGGATAAATAGCCTATGGTTCATTTTTCTACAGATACCACAACAGTGTCCACATAAAATGTGCCACTAAAGCATCTCTACGGACAATTTCTAAGCAGCCTTGGTGATGTGAGCAGGTGATGAGTTGGGCGGCGTTTGAAGGCTCCGGCCACAGTGAAGGAGAGAGATGTGGCATTCTGCTCCTCTAAAGATTTATTTGAGTTCTGCTGCTGTTTTATTTAGCAACACATACACACAACTAAATCCATACCCCCAAAATCCTTGGCATTTCATTTTTTGGTTTAGATGACACATGATAGCTCTGGGTAACAGAAAAATGTACGCACTGAATGCAAATCAGCAAAGGGCTGGCTCTGGGAGTGATACTGGAGCACTCGGAAGATCTGAATTCAGAGTTCTTTCAACAAAGCATCGTGTGGTGACTCATCACATGCAGGGTCAAAAGACAAAAGGCGCCGAGCGCTCTTCAGACAGGTTCCAGTCCTCGAGTTCAGCTAGCATCTCAATATTCTGAACGAGGAATTCAGCAGATGGTCCGTGAGGTATATTTGAAAGCCACAAAGAAAGATCCAGCTTCTTCTTGGCTTCAAAATAGATCCATCCATTCCAGTTTTTCCTTTCATGGACCTCATTAATCACGAATAACTTATCTTTACGATCCATTTTAGTATCTGCTTTTGAATGAGGCATCGACATTCCCAGATCTTGCAGTAAGTGTCTTGTTCTGAAATTTATTCCTCTAGAAGAAAGAATGAGAATCTATTCCTTATTCTTCCACTTGCCCTTGCAAGTTGTTTTGCATTTAATTTGCATTCAGTGCATAAATGTTTCTATTACCCAGAGCTATCATGTGTCATCTCAACCCAAAAATGAAATGGCAAGGATTTGGGGGAATGGATTTAGTGGTGTCTGTGTGTCTCTATCTTCTGCCCCATTTGCCATGTCGTGCTGCTTAGCCGGTGGTCTGGCATATTGTTTGTTCCTTTTTCGCCTCTTGGCCTCGATGACCAGGTCTCCATGCTGTTTCCTCTTCTCCTCGAGGGTGACAGCCTCAGAAACCCAAGGGAGCAGTTCTCCTCTCTCCTATGCGGTCACTATAAGCCAGAATTGATTCGATGGTAGTGAGGTTGGTGTTGTGTTTTTTAATTTAGTGATAATTTCTTATTGGTGAGTGACCATATGTCCAAGGAGCCTTGGTAGTGCAATGGTTAAGTGCTAAGCAGCTAACTTAAAGATGGACCAGTTCAATCCGCAGGTCACTTCATGGGAGGGAAACGCTGGTGGTCTTTCCCTGCAAACCTTGTGGGTTAGGACATGGTCTGGGTAGCTCTACTCTATCCTGTAAGAGGGATCTATCCTGCAAGTGGAGGGATCTATCCTGCGAGTGGAGGGATCTATCCTGCGAGTGGAGGGATCTATCCTGTAAGAGGAATCTATCCTGCAAGTGGAGGGATCTATCCTGCAAGTGGAGGGATCTATCCCGTGAGTGGAGGGATCTATCCCGTGAGTGGAGGGATCTATCCTGTCAGTGGAGGGATCTATCCCGCGAGTGGAGGGATCTATCCCGTGAGTGGAGGGATCTATCCCGCGAGTGGAGGGATCTATCCTGCGAGTGGAGGGATCTATACTGTGAGCGGAGGGATCTATCCCACGAGCGGAGGGATCTATGCCGCGAGCGGAGGAATCTATACTGTAAGTGGAGGGAGCTATCCCGTGAGTGGAGGGATCTATCCCGCGAGCGGAGGGATCTATCCCGTGAGCGGAGGGATCTATCCCTCGAGGGGAGGGATCTATCCCGCGAGGGGAGGGATCTATCCCGTGAGCGGAGGAATCTATCCCGTGAGTAGAGGGATCTATCCCGTGAGTGGAGGAATCCTGTTAGTGCTCAACCAAAACTACAGGCCTACATCAGACCACCTATTCAGAACCAAAAGGAATGTGCACTTCCAACAAACATCTCAGGTGATAATGCAAGTGGGAAAAAAAAATTTTTTTTAATCAAGAAATCAATGGGTCTCTTTGGGTTGGGGGTGAATTTTCTGCTGAAACATAGACACACTGGGGGTTACTATTGGAATTCTCACTTTCCATATGGGAGACCCTGGTTCAATTCCCAGTCAATGCCCAGAATCATCCTTGGAGGCTTTTATGTTACTCTGATGCTGAATAGGTTATTGTGTTGCTTCCAGATTAAGTTGAGCTAAGGAGAAAAGTCTTGAAAGTTTCTTCCAAAAACAGACAATAAAAGCCCCATGGATATCAATGGTCTGATCCAGAGCTGCTCATGGGGAGGGCTCAGAGGTGGCCAGCATTTCATTCTATTGTGCATGGGCTGTCAAGAGTCCAGGCCAACACCATGGCAGCTAGCAACAGCTACTCAAATGCACGCTCTATCCCAGCCCATTAAGTGTCCCTGTGGTGTAATGGTTAATGGTTGAGCTGCCAACCACAAAGTCAGCAGTTCAAAACCACCAGCTGCTTGGAGGGAGAAAGGTAAGGTTCTCTATTCTCCTACAGAGTTACAGTTTCAGCAACCCACAGGAGCAGCCCAACCCTATCCTGATAGGGTCGCTATGAGTTGGAATAGATACAATGGCAGTGAGTTGCTTCACCAAAGAGAGACTCCAAACAACTCAGTTAGTGGGATAGCTCTTGGTAGCCCAGAAGACATTCCAGGTAGACATCAGTAAAGTGAATAACGTCACCGTTACGGACTGTTGTTGTGATATGTGGTGCCATCGAGTCGATGCTGAGTCAGAGCAACTTTACGTAAAATAACAAACACGGCCCTGGCTTGGGCCATCCTCACAACTGTTCTTATGTTGGAGCCCACTGTCACTGCCACTGTGTCCATCAATGTCCTTGAGACCATCTCGTTTTCACTGCCTTTCCACTGGATCAAGCATGATGGCCTTCCCCAGGGACTGGTCTTGCCTGACAACATGCCCGAAGTACATGAGGCCAAGTCTTGCCCTCCTAGCTTCTAAGGAGCATTCGGGCCGTTCTTCTGAGACACATCTGTTTGTTCTTCTGACAGCTCGTGGTACTTTCCGTATTCTCCACTCACACCATAGTTCACAGGCATCACCTTTTCTTCGGTCTTCCTTATTCAATGTCCAACTTTCACACGCACATGAGGCGACTGAAAGTGCCATGGCTTGATTCAGACAAGCCTTCGTTCTCAAAAAGGCATCCTGTTTCTCAACACTTTAAGGAGGTCTTGTAGAGCAGATGCTTCATCATTGGCTCTAGTGATTGGAACAATAATTTGAGTAATAACGGTACTGATTGGATTTTGTATTGATTGGATCTCTTTGTGTGCAGACAGACATTACCCTATCCCAGACATCTTTGTACTTCAAAAGAGATCTTGAAATGTCAGTTTTGATAAGTGCAATGCCACTCCTCTTGATAGTATGATTCCCAGGATAGTAAACCCCACGATGTTCTGATTCAAAATGGCTAATACCAGTCTATTTCAGCTCACAAGTGCCTGAATATCAATCTGTATTGGTTCCATTTCATTTTTAACCACTTCTAATTTTCCTGGATTCGTACGTCATACATTTCAATTTCCAATTATTAATGGATCTTTGCAGCTATTTCTTCTCATCTTGAATCAGGCGCGCTCAGTACATGACTGTTTGGAAGGCTTTCCTCCCACAGGCTGTACTCCATCGGAGCTCGTATGGCCCACTCGGCTTTGAGAAGGCAGCTCTCCCTCCGTCATCTTCTGAGCACCTTCTCACCGGAGGGGCTCATCTTCTGGCAGGTTCTCTGACAACGTTCATTAAGTCTTCATTCACTGACAGTATTCCAGTGCTACCCATAGAGTTGTCAGTGGCTAATTTCTCAGCAGCAGACAGCCTACTCCTTCCTGATAGTCTGTTCTCAGTCTGGAAGCGCTGCCGAAACCTGTTCACCTGCTGCTATTTGAAATACCAGTGACTGAGCTTTCAGCATTGCAGCTACACACCAGACACCACCGTATGGCAAAATGACCGATGAGTGATGGCGTTAGCTGCTGGCCGCTGACAAAACTCTAATGAAGTGTCTTTTGCTGCAAGGTGTTTACCACCTCACTCCTTAAAAAGCTCTCAGTATGCAAATCCCTGCAGGTGAGCAAGACCTCGCCAGGTGTCACTTACCCCTCAAGATGTAGTTCTGGTAGTTCTGATCAGCCTCTGCTCCCACTTTAATCAAACATGTCAGACCTTCAGCCATTACGAATTCATGCACCAAGTCCTTGTCATCCTGGCGGAAAAGAAAGGGGAGAAAATGATGTCACGCATACTGTCGCTGTCCTCCTCAACTGTTTGGCTTATGCTGTGTACATACACGCTTCGAAGCCACAACCGTACCCCTAATGGCTGCTCTGCCAAATTGAAATGAGGTGTTCTACCTGTTGCCAGAGAAATCTTACCACTAGTCTTGACATCAAGACTTGGTTGTTCACCAAAGACAAATTCCTGCCTTCTGCTTAATCTAACATAGATAAGGTCAAGGAATTCCTGGGTGACGGGAATATGGGAGTAAGTGAACAAAGTCCACAAAGATAATGCTCTACATCCTACTTGAGTGAGTAGTGACTGGGCTCTTGAAACTCACGAGGAGTCATCTACAGAGCAAATGCTGATCTCGGCCTCCTGACTGGAAGAAAGAAACATGAAGAACATAGAAGACACATGGAGACGAGTCCAACGAACTAACAGACCATGAGAATTGTCAGCCTCCAGGACTCTGAAACCAGCAGGACTAGATGGTGACCACAACCACCACCACCACCTGCTCTGAGAGGGGCCACCTTAATAGTTCCTGGATAGCGTGAAGAAAAATATGAAACTGAAAACCCTCAAAATCATAAAAATAAAAATAGTGTTACTGGTCAAATAGGGACTGGTGAAACCCCTAGAGTTTTGGCCTTGCGTCGTCCTTCTGGTCTAGACTTGAACTAATCCCCATTATTCAATTTTTAGCCAAACAACCGGCAGGTCTATAAGGAAAGCAACAACACTAGGGAAGTGTGCACAACTTAGAATAATCCACCAGTTGAGATCAAAATGGCAGCATTTGCCCAAGGACAAAGGTCAGACAGAGGCTTAGGGAAAGAGAAGGTGTGGAAACAGGAGACATATTTACACTGAGGGGAGGGAAACCATGAGATCAAGTGTATGTGAGGTTGAATGGAAAACTGCTCTGCTCTGCACACCTTCTGGAGCAGCAGCCATACCAACCCTCGAATGCCCAGCTCTGCTCTGACACATGGAAAGGCCAAGTGCGGGAAAGGCCTTGACCGCAAGTGGCAGGGGTGCTGGTTGTCAGGGTTGTTATGATGATGGTGTCTTTGATAGGGGCAAGCAGTCTCTTCCACATTCGGATGCTCCCAGAACACATGAGGCAGAGCCAGGGCATGCCCTTCACCTGGAGCAGCCAAAGACAAGGGGGCGTGGGGGGAGGCACCCAGTAAGCAAGGTAACCACCGGCTTATTTGTACTTACTCACTAATCTGTAACAACCAATTACTCATGAGTTTCCCTTAAAACACAAAGGATGAGGCCCATGTACAATTTGGTTCACTCGTTGTAGACTAGCGAGTAAGCACAAGTAAACCAGTGCTTCTCTTGCTGAGTGGATACACTGTGCCTGCCAAGGAAGATACATTTGAAGAGGCTTTGATTCTGTGGGAAGGCAGTGTGGTTGTGAGAGGGCTGCCAGCCAGACCTAGCAGCAGAATCCGTGATGTGGAAATTGTGAAGTGTGAAATTGTCCACTACAGCAAGCCATGCTGACCGTGCTGGGTGGATACTCTAATCCTGCTCAAAGAGCTGCCTCCGAGAGCTGGCAGACCTGATCACAGACAGTAGGCTGGGGGAGGGCTCTCAGCAGTCACCTATCACCTGTGGGGGAAGGAAATTACCAGGTCTCCCTTCAAAATAACCGGAATAGAAACCTCTACAATGCAGGCCCAGTAAGCCCTGAGGTCTGTATCTAATTAGGTGTGAGGTACCCGGCCTTCTTCACAGGAGAATCCCCTGAGGAAGCAGAGCCTTGCCCAGATTGATGAAATCCAAAGGTCACAGGCTTTGCTACTAAAATCCCCAAGTAATACCAAAGGGTTGCACACACTCAAGCCACTGATCTTACCCTGGCTTCTCTTTGCAGATAGAGACCCAAGACTCAATAATGGCAAAAACACCTGTGGAGATCGAATAGCGACACCTGGTCAGCCCCTACACCTTTGAGCCCGAAGCCCAGGAATTTTCGATGTAGCACCAAGTTCTGTGTGTAGGGAGTTTTCAGGAGATTTCTGCAATGGGATGGGGCCCATGTCCCAAACACATCCACAACAAGGCAAGGACGTCCGTCTTAAATGAGAACAACAATGCAAAAAAAAACGAGAGACCCCACTGATGTAGAGGTAGAAAGCTTAATGGACCAATGAAAGGCTGTGATGATAGACAGCAACCCCGGTGCATCTCCAAAGGGGTGGTGATGGTGGCTCATTTAGACAAAGGGGCCTCATTCTCTTGTCTCTACCTGAAATCAACCCCTGATTTTGATTTCATGGCATTTGCCAACGATACAGATGGGGAACTTGAGCGAACTATGGGCAGCAGGGCATGGGCTCCCTCGGAACCAAGAACGGCTATGAATGCTGAACGAGGGGCTGGGTGTGGGTGGGGTGTGGTTAATGAGAGACAGCTGTGGGAGCTTGGACGTTTACGATAACCATGGCTTTGGGGGTGGGAAGGGAGAGAAAATGAGGCAAGATCATGACTTTTTGGAAAATTACTTTACACTCCTATGTAAAAAGGAATAAAAAATAACTCCCTCTCACTCTGTCTCCTTTTCCACAGCATATGTGAAAAGTGGATATTTAGATGAGCTCATGTCTAGTCAGAAAGGGGTCTCCCCCCCCCCCAAGCATGTAGCAAATGTTTATTACTTTAACTTAAACTAGGTTCACACATGACTTCATAGTGGGAAAGGGCTCTCAAGAAACCACCCCGGCTAATCACTAATATTATTACCGTATATACTTGAGTATAGGCCAACCAGAACATCTGCAAGGCACCTCATTTTACCACAAAAACTGCACTAAAAATGACTCGGCATATACTCGAATCTATTCTGTAATACAGTAGAGAATTTGCTGTCTGGGCAGAGACACCATTCGGGGGAGGCAGTGCCTATAGAAATCATTCAGAGCCTCAGCCCCTGGTTATGCACACAGATAGGCCAGGCAGTTAGGAAACACACATTTAAGAATGGCAAACTGCGGGGTTTCCCCACTAACTGGCACAATTTTGCACTACCTCTCTTAAAATGATTGAATTAAGGAGTGGTGTTTAAAACATAAGTCTCAGACTAAAGTCGAACCAAAATGCTAGCTTGGTTGGGTTGGTTTTTTCCTGCCACAGCCCTGTGACCAATATATGTAAGGTTTCCTACTAGTTGAGGAACAGTCAACCCAGGTGGCTAGCATCCTTGCTCCACGGGCCTTTACCATCAAGGAGCAGAAAGAACCTTCACACCTAGAGGTGCCAAGAGGTGCCGGAGGGGCTAAGACTAGGGTGTGGGGTGGGCAGGCTTCCCACCAGACAGCTGGCTGCCTGGCTGGGCAGTTTCAGCTTCTGAGGCTTGGCTCTCTGGAGGGTTCCAGACGTTGTGTGTTCTCTTCCAATCAAATGATAAACTGTGGTGAGCAAGCACCTTCTTACCTTGCCTAGATAGTGCTAGGCAATGGCTGTTCAAAAATACATATCTCATGAGTACAAAGTAGAGAGAACTATCCTGAGAATCCCCAGAACAAACACTGTAGAGACCGTTTAGTGAGGGGGATATGCAACAAGACCAATTTTTATTTTTATCCAGGAAAATGTTAAACATATTTATATAGAAAAGAAGACAGAATAAGGTACCCCATTCTTGTGCCAAGCAACTCAAATTGATCTTGCTTTAATCCTAACCTCTCTCCACTGTATTATTTTGAAGCAAATCTCAGACATGCTATTTTAATCCATAAATATTCCACTATGTATCCCCCAAATATAGAAATTCTTTTAAAAATATAATGTCTAAATATAAAATTGGCACTTTCTGATATCTATTCAGTGCTCAAATTTCTATCTCATGACATGTTCGTTTATGGTTTGATTTAGGATCCACCTAGGATCCACATATGGCAATAAGATCGCACAGAATTTTTAATTAATACTTTCCCTCCACCTCTTTTCCTTTTCTCTCTTGAAATGTATGTGCTACGCGTGCCTCTCCTAGAGTGCAGATAAAATGGTCATTGCGTTCAGAGGCACCATCAGATCCAGGGTTCGTTTCATTGACTTGACCTTGGCCATCGTCAAGAGCTGATAGGCATTTCCTTCTGAAAACACAGTGTTTGCTTGTACCTCGTTTCTTGTATACCAGAAGTCCTGGATGCTCAATTTCTAGATGAATTAATTCACTGGTGTGAGGTACTGACTCATAGCACTGTGTGCAACCGGAGGAAGCCTGCCCTGGCCTTTGCCACGCCCACAACTGTGATGTCTGAGCCTGTTCTTACAGCCACGGAGTCGATTCGCCTTGAGGGCCTTCCTCTTTTTCACTGACCTTCCAACTTACCAAGCAGAATGTCTCTCTTCCAGGCCTGGCCCTTCCTGAGAAGGTGTACAGAGTATATAAGACAAAGTCTCACCACCCTCAAGTCTAAAGAACATTCTGGTTGGCCTTCTTCCAAAATAGATTTGGGTTTTGTTTTCCTGCTGGCAATCCAGGATAACCTCAATCTTCTTCCCCAACACAAGATTCAAATGCATCCATTCCTCTGAGGTCTTCCTTGCCCATGCTCAGCTCTCACACAGCGGATGGGACCATTTACAGTATGGGGGTGGGGACAGGTGTGCCTTAGTTCTCAGAGTGACAGCTTTCCTCTTGAACACTTGAAAGAGGTTTTGTTTTGTTTTGGCAGCTGTTTGATTTCCTGATCGATTCATTAAAGCTACAAAACATCTGAATCCACCTTGGGGCTGGTGTGGAGTTAGGTTCTCCTTCTCACCTGTGTTCCAATGTCTTGCAATTAACATCCTGATTAAAGTTATACTGTCCCTTCTTTAACCAGACAACCACAACAACACCAGCCCCAATGCCATCGCATGGATTCTGATTGATAGCGGCCCTGGTGGCATAGTGGTTCCACACTGGGCTGCTGACTTCTTGGTCAGCAGTTCAAAAGCACCAGCCAGTTTTGAGGGAGAAAGACAAGGCTTTCCACTCCCCTAAAGCGTTACAGTCTCAGAAACTCTCAGGGGCAGATCCAGTCTGTCTTACCTTGTCCTCGCTAGGAGTTAGAATTCTTTAACCAGTCGGGGGGAAATCCTTCAACTTGCTTCCAAGTTTGATTGGCATTGACCTGAGTAACATTTGGAGCTTCCTTTCTGTCTGTGTGATAAGACGTCTCCATTGTTGTGTTTGTTTCTTCATTTATTTAATGCTCAGTCACAATCGGCTCCACAGCAGGGTTTTGAGGTGTTTGGGTTGGTTGGCTGGCTGGTTTAGATACTGTTTTAGTCTGTTAGGCTCTGTTCCCATCGTTTGAAATAAGGAATTTAGATTTACAATTCCTGATTGTAAATTCCCAACTTCTCATGTCAAGGAGGAGAAATATAAGTAAATTGACAATTAGCAGTCCATGTCATCTTTGATAGCCTAGTGACAGCATGGGATACAGTGGACTCTTTTTTTTTATGTCAGTCTTTTCACTATTTATTTATTTTTGTGATCATTTTATTGGGGGCTCGTACAACTCTTATCACAATCCATCAATCCATTGTGTCAAGCACATTTGTTGCCATCATCATTTTCCAAACATTTGCTTTCTACTTGAGCCCTTGGTTCAGCTCATTTTTTTCCCTCTCCCTCCCTCATGAACCCTTGATTATGTATAAATTGTTGTTATTTTTTCATGTCTTACACTTACTGATGTCTCCCTTCACCCACTTTTCTGTTGTCCGCCCCCCTGGGAGGGGGTTATATGTAGATCATTGTGATCGGTTTCCATTTTTATTTTATATATTTCCTATTGCAGACGAAGAACCAGTCATTTCTCCAAAAATCCCTTACTTCCTTTGGGTATGTTAAGACCACAGTCTTAATGCTAATGGGTTGCTTTGAGCTAATGGACTGATCATTGATTTTAGACACAGACAGAAATAAGAAAGGGCTATATAAAGTTCATGGGAAAATGCCATTATCTTTAAATTCCATGTTTCCAAGAACTTTTTGAAGCCCCCTCCTAGGTGTGTTTATTAAGATAAAATGCACCCTGGTGTCTGCCTGGTGTTTCCAATTCAGCTCAGAGGGCAGAGTTCACAACTTAATGTCCTTTACATTTCTATCTTCTTTTTCCCACACACCAAGAATCTTAATTCTTTAGAAACTCAGACATGGCAGAATAAAACCCCCTTCCCTATGTCTCTACACATGCACATACCACCCTCAGAATCCCACCTCACCGCCACTCTGAGGACCGTGTGTTCTTTGACTCATAAGATCTACCCAAAGCTGGTCCCACAAGCAGACACTCAGCATGTCCCCGATTTCCAATTTCTCCAAGCTGCTGTGCTGCCCCGGCCTCTCGGACACTGACCGCTTGCTCTCTCTCGCTCCTCCTGCTCCTTCTCCTCTGTTGGGTGTGGTCTCTGCAGAGTCTCACAGAACCAAGATCATGTCCACTGCCCTCTTGAATAAGGTGACCAGATTTTAACATTGGTAAAGTGGGACAAAAGCGGGACACCATTGATAAAACTCATATCCTGATGAAATAGCCACATGGCAGCCGAAAACCGTATACCCTAGCTTGTCGTGCATTCTTTCCAAATATCAGGACTTTTTTAAAACGCCTCGGGACACGGGAAAATTTGTTAAAAATCGGGACTGTCCCACCAAAGGTGGGATGTCTGGTCACCTTACTGTTGAAGCTACAGAGCAATACGTGCAATGTGAAATCCAATGAGGGGCTTCAACAAGTTCATGAACCAATGGACTTCA